ATCATATTGATGGTTATTCAGTATAGTTATTCATACCGGTCCAAATTTGGTAAAAATCGTAAGACTAATAGCTGATATATAAAGGAGAAACCGTTTGAAGTGGGACAGGCTGTATAGAATCATCTTGTTACACCTCGTTGGCTGAGTAATGTAATCAGGAATTCAGCTATATACCTATGTAATTTTCAGGGCTGATTTATGACTTTTCGCGAAAGTAAGAAGAATATCATGAAGTGAATGACTCATCTTCTGAAGCCTCATTATGATTATTTTTATGCCCGTTACCACCGAACATAAACATACATAGTATGGTAAAAGGATAGGATTTTGATTCAAAGACATATGAGTTCTTAGAAAATTACTTATGTGTGCTTCTTTACATTTCTCGGGATGGAGTTGTATGGAATTGGCATACCTAAGTATTCCTTTCATGTCTATAAACTATCGACTAGCTCTACTGCGTAATGATTCAAGTAAAACTGTTTCAATTTCGACATCATATTTTGTACAAAAAACCCTCAGATACAAATTTTGAATATATCATTATTACAAAATTCATCTGCCATATTGAATCCGCCATCTTGAATTTCTTTATTTTGACCAAGGAATCATTATTTCCGATGTCGAAAATCCCCTGATATAAGGTTTGAATAGAATCGGATCATAATTACACGTGTGTCACATTGGATCCGCCATCATAAATTTCCGAATTTTGATGGTGAAATCATGATTTCTGATCCAGAAAACCTCAGATATACAATATTTTTGAATTGGATCTTAATTATAAAACTCGTCAGCCATATTGGTTCCACCATCTTGAATTTCCAAATTTTGATGACACAATCATAATCTCCGACCTCGAAAACCCCCGATACCAATTTTATGAATACAGTCGGACCATAATTACAAAACTCGTCTGCCATATTGGCTCCGCCATCTTGTATTCTCAAATTCTGACAGAAAAATCATAATCTCCGTCGATCCCCGAAAACCCCTAGATACCTATACCAGTTTTGAATAGAATCTGATCATAATTACTACAAAATACACTAGTGTATAGTCAAGGATGGAATAAGATACTCTTCGGATTTTTTGATGTTCATTATCGTTCAGTCGTGACTTCGGCGACAGGTCGGAACGGGTTCGGACGGACGGATCGGGACGGAAATTCAATGTTTTTTGTTTTTCCTCACCCAACACAGTGCTGAACGTGCCTAAAGTTTTCACTTGAAAAATTACAATAATGTCATCAAGAATGTATTCCCCCAGAAATACATCGGAAGGCAATTTTGGACCACCGTGTATATTATAAATATCATTATCATTCCATACCAATTCCATATATTCCATTCATATACAAACAAATAAGTATATGAGCCACACTAGTGTTTCTCCATTCACCCCTGTAGCGAACGTTATCACTGAAATATGAACGATTCATAATAATAATTAACCCTCGTAAAATCTCCTAAATACCCGATACCCGAAACAGAAGAGGCGGCCGACGCCGACGCTCATTAGCGCATCGCTTCGAACCTCAAAGTCAAAGCTTCCGCCTAGCCGCCTTGCGCCCGAGAAAATGACCTTGAAGGCGATTGCCGATCTTTTCTTCTATGCGTTCGCGCTCCGACAACACATCGTCTCACTATGTATAGAAATTGTTATTATATTTATTGTGTGTTTATGTGTCGCCTTTTTTATTTGCATCGAATCCTCACGAAATATACATGTATATTCTCATAGATGCTAATATAAAATTCAATTCTACTCCTTCACCCACGGGAGACAATAAAGATCAGATAATTATAATGTCGCGCAATATCAGTATATACCATGCAATTTGCAAAAAAATATCGCAAGTCTAAGACCTATTACCAGCTATGGCAACAATGGTATGTATTTTACAGAGACAACGAAGGAATCTGCATATTTCGGAAGGGTTCTGCAAAATTTTTACCCTATGAAACACAAAAGTAGGGCAATTATGGTTGCATACATCAAGTAACACCTGGAGCACTAGCGACATCTGACAGATCAGAAACGCGAAATTTGTCGCTTTACATGTACCTTAAGCCAGTTCAACATTATTTTTTATATCAACCTAAGCATATTTTTACTTTAGAACTATGTTTTTTGACGTTTATAGAAAAACTCGAGCGCGAAATACTTTGGTCATCTCGACTATTTTTTAACTCGGCTACGCCTCGTTAAAAAAATCAGATCTCGATCACCAAAGTAGCATTTCGCGCTCTAGATACAAAAATAACTATTATCTACAACTTTTCAAAAGTCAAAATAATAATACAAAATGGGTAGATCATTTCACAATTACTCAACAAGAGCAACAAACGGCCAAATAGATTCAAATTTACCAGAACTCAAAGCTCAATAACTTGGAAAGCTGTTAATCATCATAATATCCAATCTTTGGTAGAAGTCCATGGTTTCTCAAAGTGGAGTCAAGTATTAAATACTAAATGATACACGAAGTCATCTCCACGACATTTAATGTGATTAACACATCAAAATGGGTTGGTACGTGTTTCGGACATATATATGTCCATCATCAGCCTTATAAGAAATTACATAATTAGTGTCATGGGGATAGAAAAGAGGTTATGTGGCCAACTCCCTTGGCAATGTCTTCCAGAGCCTCGCTGTTCGTTGGATGAACGAGTTTTGGAAAGAGATGTTCTGCATGACTCAATAGTTGTAGATTAAGAATATACAGTTCTTTTAAACGGTGAGAGATACGAGGTCGGTTAAATGACACCAAATGTGGAGTTTTTCAAGGCCAACTATAATGTGAAAAAAACTTTGATAAAATCTATTCGTTTTTGTTTTATACGCAAAAAACAGATTTTGATCATTTTCATGTCTCCTCCGTAACTTCTTTATTTATGAAAATATTCAAATAGGGATTTCACATTCGGGTCGATTCTGTTTGCAAATAGCAATATGGTTGTAGAGAAGATATTGCTATCATAGCAAGATTCGAAAAAGTGGAATTCTAATCATCGATTTTTGGCAATATGATCTGTCAATTTCAATGACATCTGGTCAGCTTTCTTGCTATCTCGGCAACATCAATTTTGTGCTTGCTATCTTATAACAAGGTAGTGTATTCTTTGTTTTTGCACTACAAATTCTTCCAACTGTATGAAAATTCAGAAAATAGTGGATTGAAAACATATGAGAGTTCAGTTGTGTCACTGACTACTCGAAAACCTTTGATCAAAGTTTCAATTCCTAGAAGACTTATTGAAAAACTCAGAATGGTGATTACGAACAAATAGGTTCACTACAGTGACCAACTACTTGAAAACCTTTTCTTGAAGTTCCGATTTGTAGAGGAAATATGAGACTACAATTTCGGTATATTCAGAACCAGAACAACCATTTCAGTTGCCTGATGAATAGTTTATAAAACTATTTTGCGAGAATAATGAAAAAAATCACGATTATTTTCATCCGGCTTTTAGTTGTTCCTCATTTCGGGACAAGATTGATTACTTGCACCAGTCGCACAACGACGACCAGATTCAGCAAATACAAAATCTCTCGATTTGAACAATATAATTTTGTAAAATGTCAGTGCAGGACTGACTAATTTGGGAGGTTAGATAATCATAAACTCTTCTTCTTCATTAAATAATGGCAAAATCGATACCTAACACTTGAGCAATGAGTTGAAAACAGTGTTGTCAGCTCAAAAATTCTCAATTTTTCAACAATATTGCTATCACTTGAACTTATAACCAGTCTTGCAGTTACTCTGCGAACAGAATACAGAACTTCATAGCAATATTGTTATATGTTAGGATCATAACAATATTATTATCTTAGCAATGTTATGACAAGATCCGAACAGAATCGACCCGATTCTCATGGCAGTTTTTCGAAGTGATTTCGAAAGAAATATGGAATTTATACCAACTCTTCTAGAATTTGAGATATCAGCACCAACTTTAGTTTTTCAAATGTAGGTCATAGCTCACTATGACTTAGTTACAAATAACTTTTTTTTCTCTTCCAGATGATATGTCGCAGTAATAGTTTTGTGTTGGTAACAACGGAGTTATCGTCATTTATACAAGAACAAAAAATTATTTGGAAGCCGCCATCTTGAATTTATAAATTTTAACAAAAAAATCATGATCTCCGACCTCAAAAACCCCCACTTACCAATTTTGAATGGAATCGGACCAAATCTTGTCCGCCATCTTGGAGCAGCCATTTTTTTTAATTTCAACAAAAATTCCATAATGTATTGTCACCGAAATTATGAACACCTGTCAAATTTCAAGTTAATCGGAGTTATGGAATTTTTGTTGAAATTGAAAAAAATGGCTGCTCCAAGATGGCGGACAAGATTTGGTCCGATTCCATTCAAAATTGGTAAGTGGGGGTTTTTGAGGTCGGAGATCATGATTTTTTTGTTAAAATTTATAAATTCACGATGGCGGCTTCCAAATAATTTTTTGTTCTTGTATAAATGACGATAACTCCGTTGTTACCAACACAAAACTATTTTTGCGACATATCATCTGGAAGAGAAAAAAAAGTTATTTGTAACTAAGTCATAGTGAGCTATGACCTACATTTGAAAAACTAAAGTTGGTGCTGATATCTCAAATTCTAGAAGAGTTGGTATGAATTTCATATTTCTTTGCCATGAGAATGTGAAATCCCTATTTGAATATTTTCATAAATAAAGAAGTTACGGAGGAGACATGAAAATGATCAAAATCTGTTTTTTGCGTATAAAACAAAAACGAATAGATTTTATCAAAATGTTTTTTCACATTATAGTTGGCCCTGACAAACTCCACATTTGGTGTCATTTAACCGACCTCGTATCTCTCACCGTTAAAAAGATACCCATGGTGAGCATGGTAAGTGGGACACACTGTATACTAATACCAGGAGACCTTATTTCCCTCAGCTGAACCCTCGGCATTTATAATATTGGTACCTAGGTGATATACTACCATGGTGTAGGAATAAGTATTTTATTACACAATTATAACAAATATCAGAAAAGCTCAATATTTACAAGTGAGTTACTGAACATCCACAAACTTGAACAATTCTCAGATCTACTGAAAATGGAAGGCAGTTACCTTAGTTGTTGAAATACCTGATCAAGATATTCCTAAAATTTGGCTGTCTCTTGTATGTGAATGCATATTGGAAAACAAAGAAAGGAAAATAAAATTAATTCTCACTGTCAAAGAACAAAACTATCCAGTCGCAGCTTCCCTTCGTTTTCTGTCAGATAAATCAGGTCGGCCAAGGTCTGATCACAAATTGCTTCCTCGGCTTTCTCACACATCTGGAAAAATAAAAAACAGTCAGTTCATCATAATCCTGAGGAAGCCCAATCAAGGTTGAGAACAGAACAGTCAATTGAATTTCAGAAAGTATCATTTGTATTTCAGAAAATTTATTTGTCAATATTCCTGTCAATATTTATTTTATTCATTTATTTATTGAACAAATAACTTCCAGACAGAATAGGCTCTGGTATAAGGAAGTACATAATTATATACCTATAGGTAAACCATTGTCGTTCTAGATGACAACCTACTTAGGTAGTTAGTAGGCAGGAGCTATAATATTGTCTGTTCATTGAAAAGACAATTGAAGAAAATATGTAGTTCAGAGACATCTACGTGAACTAAGTAAACTAAGTTATTCATATTTTATTCCTAACCCATAACATTTTTCATGGTCCTGTCAAGTTTGTAAATAAAAATCTGTCATGTTGAAACCCGAAAATGTAACATTATCACGAAAGATATTATCAAGTATGAAAACCATTTACCTATACTTGAATGGAAGCAGGGAGATGTTTAGGCAATGCTGTATCAGGTTGACTTATGATGCAATTTGAATTTAAGTTGGAACTGTGGAAACTTCGGAAACTCATCAGTGCTTTTACACTTTTTCGACATGCAAGCCAAGCAGGAAGGTAGGGGCTGCTTATTTCCTTCTATATTTTTGATAAGTTACTATATAATTCATGGAATTCCGTTGTTTGCAGTAGAAACATGTCTTTAGTGATGTAAACTATGTACACATCGGAATCACTATACTTGAAAATTTCAGGTACCTACCTACAGCGAAGAGTACCTACATGAATAGCTTTTCAGTTGAAAAACGAAAAACTATGAGTGATACAAACAAATTGATGTGGACGAATCACATCAGGAATCATTATGTGAGTAATGTTCAGAAGAAATGTACCAGAAGGATGATGTTTGAGAACAGAATGGAAAATTTCCCATCTGAAATGAATATATAGAAGCAATAAGGTTAGACTCAATCTGTTTATTTCATCAATGTCTTATGGATATTCTGCTCCAAACACAAAATATCAAGATGCTGGGATATTTAGAATTTTTTTATTGGAAAATAACTTGTATATGTACGTATGACAATACAAATATATTTTTTAATAAATTGAATATAATTATGAAGAATTATTGCAATTTTTATTCTACTAATTTGTTCTCCTCTGATACCCTGTTTATTGTTGTACAGATGTATTGGCAGGTAAGTTTGAAAACACTATATATATTGTACCAAAGGTATATAGGTTAAATATGTTTTGCTGAACAATGATTATTTTTTATAAAATCATCTTATCCACTAACTTCACTAAATATGGGAAGATGTGTCTATAATTGCCACAAATTGAACCATAGGAATATACAATACCAATATGTATAACTTTTTACACTACACACTGTTTTACCACTAACCAAACCGATTTTTTAACGCCTCGACACGTGTTTCGCTAACTATGTTAGCATCTTCAGGAGAAGATTAAAACTGTTAAAGTTTCCAGTCTTCGATATATAACTTTTTAATTTCCATAGGAATATTCAATACCAATATGTATAATTTTTTAATTTATATTATGTAATCATTTTGAATAAACTTCATTATTATTTATTATCATTCTATAATATCTGTTCAAATGCCCGTTTCCTCCTCAGATGCTTCTTAGTCTTCAGGTCGTGTTCCTTAAGGAAGGAGTTCCTCTTCAGCATCATATTCCAAACTACATTGATGAGTCTGAAACTATAAAAATATTTGTTTATGAATAAAAATATTTGATATCTATTTTGTCCCCAGTTTCAATGATCTGTACCATTCTGAAATGAATTTAATGACAATTACTGTGGAACAATTTTTAGAGGTCCCAAAGTCAAGTTCTTGGTAATTTTTGTACTGAAACTAATAGTTCCAGTCAACTAGAAACTAATAAGCTGATTGCTACAAAGAGTTTGTGTAAGTAGGAACTTGTTAAATATCATTTTATTTATACATACCTTCCTTTAACAAACTTGGAACCGAACCCTCCTTCCAAAACCGTTTCCAATTCTTCATTGGCAAGGAACAGTTCCCTTAAAATGTTGGAAACATACAGTATCATGTTCGCTCACTTCAAAAACTCCCATTCCTGAAATATCAATGCATCAGGTTTCAAATATTATGCGATTCAAGAAAAAAATTTCACCTTGCAATCCAATGAATATGGCATAAACTCATTGATGCCTCAGGATTTGTGGCTCAAATTCACAACAGTGAGGATAGGGGAAATCAGGTCTTGATAATTTTACACCTCCACCTCCTGGAGTGCGAAGTTTTCAGATAACATTGCAAAATAACACAATCGCACTCACAAACCAATCAACAAACTGCAATAGAAAACCAATACTGGAAGAAATAATTAGGAATAATTGTAATTTTCAAGAATACGAATTCAAAGTATAACATATTCACAAAGACGAAGTTATAAGTTAATGACAACTGTCAGAAAATAATTTTTTGATTATGACATCTCAATCTCATGAAAGAATCTTCTTCATCGCCTTTGTATCAAATATCACGTCAATGATGGAAAGCACATCTGTGGTTGAGTACATATTGGAAAAAAATAGAAGAAGAGAATATCAACCTAATATGGTCTATTTTGACATAAACAAATGAGCTCGTTCCATTTTCTCATCCCCAGCGCCACTTGACAGACAGACATATTTTGATTGAATGAACAGACAATATTATACCTCCTCGCACTAGGTCGCTTACTAGGTTTTCATTTAGATCGACAATGGGTAAACATATCATTATTCAAAATATATCAACAACTGTAAACAAAGAATATTCGTAAAAAAAATGACATGATTAATGTAATCCAATTCGCTCAGAAATAATCAGTTCTTTCACTTCATTTTTGAATGTACCTATATTTCTACAATTTTTTCTATTGCCAGGTAGTTTATTGAATTCAGTTAAGGCTGAATGAGTGAATCTTTTTTGTCCGATTATGGAGCTAGCGGCGTCGAGATGAAACAAGTTATATTGTCTAGTTTCATGATCATGAATTTCAGAATTCCGTATCAAAATAAAATTCGATTTCAATTTTTTTATAATAATAATAATAAACGCTCTTTATTGGTTATAAATTACAACCAAAAGGCCATCGACCGAAGTCCTGCAGCCAGTAAATTTCAATATACATGATATTTCAATAATTTCATTTGCATAAAAATGTGAATTAAAAAAAAAATTTAATTTATAAATCTTCAGTCCAACTGATCTTCACTAAATGATGTAAGTATTTCTTGTATTGTTCTTTCTGGGAATTTGAATCGTGATCTCATATCTTCTCTTGGAATCAAGTGGGGTATTAAAAGCTCCATGTTGCTGGTCTTGAGGGCGAATTTTTGGGATAACTTCCTCAGCCGTTCTCGTATTGGTTCTATTTTAGTTTTGTGGTACAAATATTGATTGGATGGGTTGTGTAGATAGTTGTCAGGGTGTCTCATTCTAGTTATTGTTTTTAGGGATGACGTTTCTGCAGTTTTTAAATTCTGCATGGTAGGATTTCTGCAGTTTAGATATATCGTATGTCCGTAGTCCAACAAAGGTCTGCATATGGATTTATATATCTTTGCTGCTGCTCCGATGTTGATGCCATTTTGTTTGTATGTAAGACTTCTGAAATATTTTGCTCTCGATGTTATTTTTTTTTTTACAGATTTTTGAGTGATACTTTAAATTCAGTTTATAGTCCAGGTGGACTCCAAGGTACTTCACTGTGTTGGTGGGGTTGATCTCATGATTGGCTATCGTCACCGTTGGGGAATTATCATTTATTACATGATTAAATAGCATTAGCTGACATTTCTGAGGATGTACTTCAAGTCTCCAATCATTCAGCCAATTCACGGCATTGTCTATGGGCTCTGTAGCAGAATAGCGTCAGTCAAAATAGCGCTTCAAAAATAGCGCTGCGACAAAATAGCGCTGGACGAAATAGCGCCGCACAAAAATAACGCAGATCAAAAAAAGCGGTGGACGAAATAGCGATGGACAAAACAGCGCCGCACAAAAATAACGTAGAACAAAAACAGCGGCGGATAAAATAGTGCTCGACAAAAAAGCGACATGACATAACAATTAGGAATTTTTGCTCGGTGCATGATCACGACAAACTGTTTATTATGAGGATTGATCAATAAATTGAACAATGTCGAATAATTGAAGTACGAAGTAACAATATTTTATAGATTCACGAAAGCATGGAAACAACTAGTTGTCAGTGTCATATTTATTTGAAGTCATAAAAAATGCATTTCGACAAGTCTCAGAAAGGAGGTACTGAATTATTTCACGAAGGATATAATTACCGAAAAGACAAGCAACGTGAAGGTCACAGCACATGGCGATGTTCTAAGTTCGGTTGTAGAGGAAGGTTATTGATGCTCAACGGTGATACAGCAAAACCAATCACGAAACATAATCACGCGCCAAATCCCGTAGAGAAAGTAATCAGGATAGTGAAAGAAACTATACGCGAAGGAGCTTCTAAAACGGATGCAAATCCAAGGGAAATCATACAACAAGCTTGCAGCAGTGTAATTTAGGAAGAAGTGGCTGTTAGTCTTCCAAGCTATTAGGCATCACGCAGAACAGTGCAAAGAATAAGACACAAGGAATTTTTAAGATCTTCAGTATTTAACAATATTTCTGAAGTGAGAATGGACGACAAATATTCTAAAACGGACAGAGGTGAAGTTTTCTTACTGTGGGATTCAGGAAAAGAAAACCGAAATAGACTTCTGATTTTCAGGACTTACAATAATCTCGATTTGCTCAAAGAATTTCCGCACTGGGCAATAGACAGAACCTTCCAACCTGTCCAATTTTGTTTTGTCAATTATTCGTTATACATGCATTAATTGACTCGAAAGCTGTACCACTAGTATATGCTCTGTTGCCAAATAGATCAGAAGGTGTTTACGTTCAAGTATTTAATAC